TTCTGGATAATGTTTTGCATAAGGTTGGATACGTGGCAGTCTATGATTTGTCGTTACCGATTCAAAATAAAAATTAAAACGTAACCGTCAGTTCTAGATCCAACTGCCAAAATCTAAACGTACCGATTCATTTAAGTGATCTAATCGAACATGTTAGATCTAGATTGGAAGGCTAGGGTTTTGTTGGAGCTCACCAGGTGCTAGGTCGTTGGAAAGTCACCGGAAAACTCGGGCGCAGTGTGGACGGCTCGGATGTGGACGAACTCGACATTCCGGTGCTCCCTAGCGGCGGCGAGGTGGTCGACGAGATGCGGACGACGATGACAATGCTCCTGGTGGTCATGGCTGTCGCCGGGGTGGACATAATCGATGACAAGGGCTTGTCGGAGAGGGCAACGAGTTTCCGGTGATGACAGGCTGCTAAAAACGAGCGTGTTTGGACACGTGGCTGGGTCGACAGATGCGCCCAAGTGCTACCTCTTGAGCTTGCGTTGGTTTTTCCCTTGAAGAAGAAAGGATCATGCAGCAGAGTAGAGTAAGTATTTCCCTCGGTTTGAGAATCAAGGTATCAATCCAATAGAAGACAACGCACAAGTCACTGAATACCTGCACAAACAATAAACAACTTGCACCCAATGTGATAAAAGGGTTGTCAATCCCTTCACGGATACTTGGAAAAGTGAGATCTGATAGAGATAGATAAACTGTAAAGTAAATATTTTTGTTATTTTTGGTTTATAGTTCTGAAAGTAAAAGATTGCAAAATAGTATATCGAAAACTAGTATGATAAAAAATAGAACTTGTATGATGGAGAAGAGAACTTGTATGATGGAAAAGAGATGCGGGGGCCATAGGTTTCACTAGTGGCTTCTCTCAAGAAAGCAAATAATACGGTGGGTGAATACATTACTGCCGAGTAATTCATAGAAGAACGCATAATTATGACAATATCTAAGGCAATGATCATGAACATAGGCATCATGTCCATGTCAAACGATTCTGCATCTACTGCTATTACTCCACACATCGACCGACTCCTGCCTGCATCTAGAGTATTAAGTTCATTAATAACAAAGTAACACATTAAGTAAGATGACATGATGTAGAAGAATTAACTCAAGCAATATGATGAAAACCCCATCTTTTTATACTCGATGACAACAATACAATACGTGTCTTGCTGCCCCTACTGTCACTAGATATACAACCGGTCTAATCTGCTAATATTAGCAGAATAACTATTCTGATAACACTTTCGCACTGCATGCTCAACGCAAGTGCACATCATTGTTTGAACTAAGTGTGCTACAGTACTCAGGCGAGTGAACTTCCCGTCGCAAAAAAATTGCACGCTGTGTTTTTTAGTAACTTTTTCACTCTAGTTTTTTAGTTTATCGGAACAAGGCGTGTAATATACAGTTGAAAAGTCATGGATTAGGCGCAACTTCTTCATGTCGAACACTCTTTGAGATTTCTCGCGGTTTAAGAGCAATTTTGAAAATGGTGCGGCGCACGACGAGTGGTAGCGAGTGTTTTTTCGCGTTTTTTCTAAACTTCTCGTCGGAATGAAGCAAATGATACACCGTTGGAAAGATATCATCGAGGCGCATCTTTTTAATATCTATTATTTTTTCTAATTCGTTACGGTTTAGGAGCAGTTTTATATTTAGTAAATTGTGGAATTGTGTTTTTCGTATTTTTTTGCAATTTTTGGTACTGTTTTTGCTTCATCTTTTGAATCTCTTGTCGAAACGAGGCTTATAATACGCCGCTGGAAAGCTACGGACGAGTCGCAACTTCCATATGTTAAAATGCTTTTGAGATTCCTTATCGTTTTTAGTTAATTTTAAAAATTGTGCGGCTGATGACGAGAGTCAGACGTCATTTTTTACTATTTTATTTGCAAACCCTTGATCGGAATGATTTAAATTATACGCCGTTGGAAATAGATCAACGAGGCACAACTTTTTCATGTAGAACACACTCTCTAATTCCTTACGGTTTAAGAGCAATTTTAAATTACCGAAATGCGGACACTCTATTTTTTCGCGACATGAAAATCATCGTATGTACTGCATCAGACAGATAACCGTACTGCTTTTAGATTGAAAACCGCACTGCATCATACAGTCAAGTGACCTTCGTTATTTCTTTTGTCTTGAGTTTTTTATTTACTTTTTAGTCTGACACCAAATGAGCTGCATCCGACAGCCAAGCGCACCGCAGTTTCTGATGAAGTTGATTGATCCCGAAACACACAATACCTCGTGGGATGAGTGCAGTGCACATCAAAGCAAAAGTGAACCGCGACACAAATCAAAGGGGACCGCATGACTTTTGTTGTTGCTTTCGTACTAATTTTTTATGAACATGTCCAAAATGAATTACCGAGGCTAGTGTACTGCATCTTTTTTTTGTAAAACGCTTTTTAAATTTGCATGGTTGAGGTAAGTTAACTACATTATTATTTTGTCTTTTTATTTTCATTTTCTAATGAATACATTTTGACTGCTGAGACAACGCAAGTGTACTGCATCAATGTTTTTTTGCAGAGTGAGCCATAAACGTTTGTTACAATGAACTGCACTATTTTTCTTTAATAAATACGGGGCGCTGATCATATACAGGATGCCACCGGCAACAAAACAAGTGCGCTGCATAAGCAAAGTGTTCTTTTTCACTACACAAAACAAAACAGAGTGAACCGCAAACATTGTTATCTGCTTCTCTAAATGAACTTCATTTAAAAAACTAGTGTTAAATTAATCGGCGAACCACATGTACGGTGAATCTAATATCCGGTGTCCAGGGGCAGTGAGACCAGATCCTGTGGTCACCGGAGTCCACGACCACCAACGAATCGGAATCTGATGGTTGCACTTGGAAAGGTGGTCGTCCGGCGCTTCCCTGAGTCGACTGACGAGAGGAAGTAAGGGGAGGAGGGGGTCATGGGCCGGCGAGTTCAATAGTAGACGAGGTGGGGATCGACAGAACCACAAAGGTTGACACGGGAGGCCGGGGGATCCGAACCTTCCCGTCTCCGCCACGCTGGACCTCACCGGCCCTCCCATCTGGCCACAAGAGCGGGAGGGCGCAGATTCGTGGGGAGCAGGGCCACGCAACTGCCGTGCTGGTGGTGGTGGAATGTGGTGGCTGCGACCAGGAGGGGTGGCGCGCAGAGGAATGCATGGGCAGTGGGGAGGCTCCACATCGGGAGTCACGGGGGAGCTGCTCGCTGGGGAAGCGACGAGCTGGATCCGTCGACGGCCAGCCGGGGGGGTGGGGGTGCGGGGGAGAGATGTTGGCCGGGCGCCGACAGTGGAGGGAGGGAAGGTGGGAGGAGGAGGCGGAGGACGAAGAAGGTGGGAGGAAGGGGGTCGGGCACAAATAAGGTGGGAGGAAGGGGGTCGGGCACGAAGAGAGAGCAGAGGGGTCGTTTTTTGGGTGAGTTGACTTTTGTTTTTCTTTTTGTTCTGCTCGAGTGGGCGGTGAGGGAGGTGTTAGCAGAATAAGAAGTTGGTGTTATCAGAATAAGAGTCTTAAGGTGTTATTAAAATAGAAATGTTTAGGAACGGCACGCCGGCTGAACCATTGCGCCGGTCGCTCGCTTGCACAGCGTCAGCCACATGCGTGACTGAGCCCATCCCCACCGCCCAGCCTCCTTTTTCTCCCGTTCCCCCTTTTCATCTTATCCTTCCACGCATCTTCTACTCCATCCGCTTAGCCCTCTTTCTCCTCTGCTCCATCCCCACCTACCTCCTGCGCTCAATAGCCATGGATGAGCTCCACCTTTTCCATCGCCTCTCAAGTGCGACCCCCATCCCCTCCCCCACAACACCAACCTGCTTCCAATCAGGGGCGTAGCGCCGCTGCTGCTGTCTAGAGGCATTTGGCAGCGCGAACGTCGACGTCCTGCGGCATGCCGGAACCGGTGAAGCCACCGTGCTACAACCGACGAGGTGTCGTGCTTCCATGGCATCACCACGTCGACCGGTGTGCTGCAACCGTGTTCAGCACGAGCTGGAATAGGACGACGTGGATGTTGCGACCGCGGTCACCACGGCCGCATGCTGGGAACCGGCATGGCAAGGAGCTGGAACCGGCACCGGATTTTGTGTTTTTGCTAGAACCGGCATGTTATTTTGCTGGAAGTAGCTTGATTTTTTTGCTACAATCGACCCTGGAGCTTTTCCCTGGTAATTTTGCTTTGCTGGAACCGGTGCATATTTTTCCTGGAAGCTAGTATTTTTTTGCTACAATAATTGGAGCCTTCTTTGCTGGAACCCATGGAGACGACGGCCTGCGGTGCTGCATCCAGGGCTCGCCAGCCACCACGGTAATCATCGGTTTTTGCTACAACCGGTGTCAAAATTTGCTACAACCGTTGTCGATTTTGCTACAACCGTTGTCGATTTTGCTGGAACGGGCGCTCGCTTTTGCTGGAACAGGTGACCGAGATGTTACGACGGTGAGATCTGACCAACGAGCTGTGGCATCAGGCGTCAGTGGCGACGAGGATGATGGCGGGATATGGCCCCCGCCATCGGAGCTGCAATTGTTGCCACCGGAGCTACAACCACGGGTGTCGATGTTACATGTGTGGAGCTGGCCACCGGCGGCGACCATCGGTGAGGGGCGGCGATCGGCGGTGACCATCGGCGGGGTGGGGGGGGGTGCGACCGGTGGTGATTTGAAGTTGGTCGCCCTCGCTCATCCATGGCAGCGGTGCCCGCTGCTCCTTTTTTTCCGCTGTGCTTGCGAGATTCTTTTTTTTTAAGAAAGGAACCGCACAAGAGCCCAATCTGACGGCAACACGTGCTTGCATCGAACGGTTGGGGCTCGACCAGCCCAAACGGTTCAGCCGGTGCGCCGGCTCCTATAAGCATAGACCAACCCTATATATATAGATAAATTATATATATGTATATATATACTCATGAAATTCTACCACACATCCTTGATTGTAAAATAAATAAAAATGACTAGGCAACTACTTCATCTAGCTGCGTGCTATTTTCTTGCGACGACCACTGCAAACAACCTGCAATACAATTGTCAGCGCAAATCCGACTCCGAAGCCTACACCTACGAAAAGCCACAACACGATATCATCAAATAGTGATCCTTCTGGCACGGGAGTCGGGAGCAACGAAGATGGCGAAGGCACGAATGTAAGGTTACATTTCACAAGAAGTGGGCATCCGTACAACCCTCTGTTTCCGCCCTGGAACGAGCTACTGGTGAATGTGGAAAACTGACTGCCTGAAGGTATCCTCCCACTGAGATCATTGTAGGAGACGTTGAGCCACTCTAGGGTCGTCAACGTGGCCAGCTCCTGCGGAATCTTCCCCGTGAGATGATTCCATGAGAGGTCCAGTGACTCCATCCGGGCCAACTGACCGAGCTCGCGTGGGATCTTGCCACTGAAGGCATTGCGTGACAAGTTTACCACATGCAGTAATGTGAGGTTTCCGATTGATCTTGGGATGAAGCCGCTGAACTGATTGCTCGACAGATCAATCACCACCAGCTCAGTACGGACATTTGCCACCCTCATGTATTGTTGTTTCATGGCCACATCAACCGCCACCTGATAAATCGATCTTCCATCTTCCACAAGAACTATATTATCATATTCTGCAACTCCCTTTGGGTCCCAAACCATGGAATTGAAACTCTTGAAGAAATCTGGTGGTAGATCACCACTGAAGCCGTTTCCTGCAAGATCAATGATTTGTACACGGGAGAAGAAACGGGCAGTCGAATTGTTCCGCACAAGAGAAGGGATGCTCAGTGGGCCATGAAAATTGTTGTATCTCAACACAAGTATCTGGAGCTCCTGTAGCTGACCTAACCATACAGGAAAAGAGTCCACGAAACGGTTCCCTCCAATGTCAAGAGCTAGCAAGTACTGGCACCGAGCCAATGATCTCGGCAGGCGCCCCTGGATGTGGTTTCCATGTAAGTCTATCAGCCTCAGGTTACATGATTCATCGATATCGTCAGGCCATGTTCCGTTAAGGCGATTTCCCCTCAAGTTCAACACAGCGAGTTCATGGCAACCTTTGAGCAAATAAGGTGGCACCAACCCACTGAAATTATTGCCGGATAGGTTGAGTATTTGGAGAGCACGATAGCCCGACTGACATTCTGAGTAGGGGATAGCCCCACTCAGTTCATTGTTCGCAAGGTTGATAGACAGGGCGACCTCAAACTGTTGGAGGAAATTGCTTGGAGGGATGGACGAGAATTTGTTGTTTGAGAAGTCAAGATCGGACGCACCTAAAGGGAAAGGCACAGCGCCACCGAGCATATTGAAGCTAAGATCGATGGATAACCTTATAGTAACATAGTGTTGGGGCTGACCCACGGTGGTGAAGTGGTTGTGAGAGAGGTTCAAGGAGCTCATGTTTCTCCAAATCCAGTCAGGTATTTCACCATGAATTTGATTGGAAGAGAGATCCAAATATTGTAGTTCAGGTAGATATTTAACCACAAGGGGCAACCTTGTTAGGTTACAACATGCTAGGTCCAGGCTAGAAAGACTGCTATTACTATAAGCTTCGACTTCATTACCATCCCCTGAGGCAGATAACAATGGGTTATAGGAGGCTGATATCTCACTGAGGTTCCTTAGCCTCAAGAATGTGTTTAGATCCAAGGTACCCGTGAAATTGTTGTGCTCAAGTTCCAGGGTCTGAAGAGCAGTGAGATACGAAAATGAAGTTGGAACTGCACCTGTCAACTGATTGTAGCTCAAGTCAACCAAGGTCAGTGTAGCTGATGGATTTTGGAATTCGTCAATAGCACCAGACAGTTGATTTGCCTCGAGTTGCAGTGTCTGCAATGCTGGCTGAGTGAACAAGGATGCTGGAACTGTCCCCGACAGTGAATTATTGCTTAAATCCACCTCTGTGAGATGTGGGTACATATGTCCATCAAGAGGAACCGGCCCTGTCAAAGAAAATTGTGTTAATCATGAAACTGGTAGACAAGGACCGTGTAACTTCAGATCTAAGAGTATTTGTTTTCTACGAGTATTTCTTAATTTGCAGTCACTTGTCATGACCTCAGGAAATTAAGATGACAGCAAAGAAAACAGGGAAGCTTGGCCCATGTGGTTGTTAAACCCTCCGGATGTTGCTTGCATCTTGTAAATTTTGGAAGGAATAAAGCATGCCGATTATCTTGAAAATATCACTGTCTAAAATAATTGTCAAATAAACCATACGATAAAGCACAAGCTCTGTAGTAAAAATGTTTAAGGAATAATACTCTAAATATTCCCATGGAACCCCTTTAAACCAAAGACACGCTAAATTTCTAGTTCACGAGTATTTGATATAACATAGGTAGTTTTTGAAATTTACACAATACAATTCTTTTGCACAAATTATTATTTTTAGATAATGGAGAATAGCACCTCCACGGGCTCTCCATTTAAAGGTGCACACACCCCTTTCTGCAAAGTCTTGAAAAGTTTAGGTTTTTAACAAAGTAGAGTGCTAACTAGATCAGGATACACTAAAACTCAGGTAGAACAAACACACTGTTAACCGGTCACTCTTTTTGGATATATATAAACTAAAACAGGGAAGTATTTACAGCTGTCATTGTATAATATTTGATAGCAATGTGATGTGCCTAAGAAAATGGCAGGATTCATCTGGCCCACATCGATTCCCCCTCCTTGTATCTATCCAAATAACGATATAACACACTTGATAGGTAGATGATTTAGCAAGCTGCAATCTTTTCAATAGTACCAACTTACCTGTGAAGTTGTTGTTGGCGAGCGATACGCTTTCAAGTCGTGTCAAGCTTGTAAGCCATGGAATCTGCCCAGACAAACCAGAATGCTGACAGTCCAATATGATCAAGTTTGTCAGATTGCTGAGGGCCCAAGGTAGCCTGCCGGAGAAGCTGTTCACACTGATGTGTAATTCAGTGAGTGACATGAGGTTCCCAAAGGAGTCGGGGAGGGGCCCCATGAGGTTCATCTCTGAAAGGTCGAGGACCATGAGATTCTTAAGCCCAGTGATCCCAAGAGGGAATGTTCCAGGCTCGAAGTTGTTACCACCGAGCACAAGTTCTCGTAGAAAAGGGAAATTGGAAGGAGTGAACAAATCAGGCAGAGGACCGGTTAAAGAATTTGCACCAAGATAAATCACCGTTAGAGAGTGGAGGCTTGATAAGGATGGGTGGATTGGACCAGAGAGGCCACACCAGCCTAATCTAAGGATCTCAAGAAGAGGGAAGTGGCTGGCAAGTGCCTTGAAGAACTCTGGTGTTGTGCTGGTTATGCCACCACCATCGAGATGGAGCTCCTTCAGCTTGCTAAGGTTGGCCATTATGGTCGATGGATGGAGATCAAACTTCATGCCAGTGTTGCCAAGGTCAAGGGTGACCAGGTTGGTTAGCCGTGAGATATTCACTGGGACCTGAGAAACAAATTTGCAATGTGACAGGTTGAGGTAGGTCAGCTGTGTCAAGCTCTCGAAACCATACATCAGAAGCTGGGAGCTGGTAAACCAGTTGGAGGCAAGGTTGAGGTACCGGAGAGAGGTAAGCCTGGAGAGGGAAGCGTGGAAGTCGCCGACATACAGGTTCCGCTCCGGGAGGTCGAGTGCAGTGACCCTCCCGGTAACATTGTCACAGCCAACGCCCTCCCAGCTGCAGCAGTCTGTGCCCTCTCTCCATGATGACAGTGTCGTGGTGGCCGATAGGTAGGGACTGCTGAAGTTGAAGGAACGCTTCACCCCGAGGAGCGCGGCAGCCTGATCCTCGCGGCATCGTGCAGGGACCTGCTGCAAGGCACTTCTGTTGACTGAAATGGCATGAGAGCAATGTGGAAGTAGAAGGATTTCTGCAAGGAAACCTAAGGTCACCAAGAGCGAGGTGAGATGAGTAGCCGTGCGAGGCATTGCAGTTGGCAAATTTAGGAGAAGACCAGTTCTATATCTATACTACTTCCCTGCATATGTGTGTGTATATATGGTCTGAACTCTGAAGGTGGGTGGAGTAGTTGGCACAGTGCATTGACTGAGCCGCTGTTTTCCTCTACTCTCCGGTTTATCTGCTGTATGAACAACAAAAATGTCTTTGCCGCTGGCCCCATGTTTGTGTTAACAATTTTAGCTTGACGTGGAAAATTAGTCACCGGTCCGTGTCCCATTCATGCTTTGACTCGAGTCTTCACGGGCTGCTGCCTCGTCCGACAATTTGGTTGACGGGGAAAGCTAGTCAAGTACTATAAACGACAACCCGTTCAGCCATCTGTAGACCATGTAGTCTTCTTTGTACTCCATGGTCATCAAATGACAACATGGGATCACATGGACGGACCCATCTGGAGTTCAAAGCTACTGCGTGTTTCCGTTCATCGATCTCATCGAATACAACCGTGAAGGACTCATAGGTCACATAGCACACGCGGGGTTGAGGCATTACAGCTGGTGATTCTTTTGGATTCACTGGAAGACGAGATTGACACATATACAAGTTCTCTGCATTGTACTCCCTCCGAGTATATATATAGGGTTATATATATACTCGGAGGACCATGTGTGGACCACCGCGTCTTTTTTTCTTCCAAGTTATACCGTGTGTTTCGATCATCGAACACGTACAAACGTGAAGGACCGTGCAGCTGCTGTAGGTCGGTTTAGCCCAGACCACACGCAGTGACGAGATTTCTTATTCCCCGCGTAACGCGGTGGAATGTTTTTTTATTAAGGGGTAAGAGCATCCACAGCGGAAAAATCCGGTCTGCCTCTGGACGAGCCACCCGGATGTGTTTGCAAGCACTCACCGGTCATGTCTTAAATTTTTTTCATCACATGCATGTAACTTATATCCGGCACCCTATATTCATACTATGCATGCAACATAAGAGCTACTCTATGTGATAAACAACGCACAACGAAATCGGCATCAAACGGACAATCAAATGCACATAAATGATCTGTACATCACCCAAAAGACCATCGGAGTTCATCGCCGGACAAGTTGTTAACTTCAACAACTAAAAAACAATAGCTTATGGTTTGAGATCAGTTACCCACGGCTGCACCTACAACTTACCCAAGTGCTAGTTCCTTTGTCCATGAACAACAACGGAGTCGAGTCAGATGACATGTGAATTCTTCAGTGATTTGACCGCGTTGCAGCTTCCAGTGTGTGATCGATCCGTACCTGGCCGCCATGGCCGCCGTTGGGGTTTGCTTATTGATGGCGACGGCCGTGTCATGGGCGTGCTCGCTGGGTAGGTGTAGGCCGTCTCGACGACTTGCTCGGCATGAGTAGTGTCTCGTTCAACAGGGCGAGCTCGCCGAAGAAGGTGGCACGGCGGCAGTGGAGCCTAAGTGCGACGTCGAGACGCTCTCGTCCCCTCGCTCCTAACCCTCGTCACCGCCACCACCTCCCCTGCTCGATCCCGGCCGGAACCGGCGAGCCCCGCCAGCGCGCAGGCCAGATCCGGGTGGCTCTCCCCCCGCTCCTCCCTTCCCTCCCTGTTTCCGCCCTTGCGCCGCCTCCCCGGGAGGCGGCCAGGGCGGCCAGCGCGCCTGCTCCCTTGTCCTTCACCACACATCATCCCTCCCTGCCGCCCCCGGCTCTGGCCCG